CTGTTTGGTTTTACAATTATTGTGTTTCTGTACAGTAGCTTTAACTTTAGTTAGAAGCTGTTTGGTTTTACAATTATTGTGTTTCTGTACAGTAGCTTTAACTTTAGTTAGATGCTGTTTGGTTTTTACAATTATTGTGTTTCTGTACAGTAACTTTAACTTTAGTTAGAAGCTGTTTGGTTTTTACAATTATTGTGTTTCTATACAGTATCTTTAACTATAAGTTTACTTGAGTTAGATGCTGTTTGGTTTTTACAATTATTGTGTTTCTGTACCGTAGCTTTAACTGTAAGTTTAGTTGAGTTAGAAGCTGTTTGGTTTTTACAATTATTGTGTTTCTGTACCGTAGCTTTAACTGTAAGTTTAGTTGAGTTAGAAGCTGTTTGGTTTTTACAATTATTGTGTTTCTGTACACTAACTTTAACTGTAAGCTTACTTGAGTTAGAAGCTGTTTGGTTTTTACAATTATTGTGTTTCTATACCGTAGCCTTAGCTGTTAGTTTACTTGAGTTAGAAGCTGTTTGATTTTTACAATTATTATGTTTCTGTACAGTGGCTTTAACTGTAAGTTTACTTGAGTTAGAAGCTGTTTGGTTTTTACAATTATTGTGTTTCTATACTGTAGCTTTAACTGTAAGCTTACTTGAGTTAGAAGCTGTTTGGTTTTCACAGTTATTTGGTTTCTATACTGTAGTTTTAAATGTAAGTTTACTTGAATTTCTTGGGAAGTTAAACATAACACTTTTTTGAGCTTTAATTGTTTGAGAACATGCTTAGATCACTAGAATGAGCTGCAGTGCATGTTGTTGGACAGGTATGTGGTAGTAGCCAGAGTTGGCAGTGCTGTGGTGTGCTAGAAATGTGGTTGTTACAAATATTCTGTATACAATCTTAGTTAAAACATGAACCTAGTGTCATATGTTCTTTAAATATTTTTTTAGAATGTATAAGAACATTGGTATTTATTTTGTTTGCTGCTGCTGCTTATAGGGAATGCTTGTTCAAGTTTGGAGAGAAACTGGGTGAAGAAGTCTGGGAAGCCATCAACACTTGTTTTGATGTGATGCCTGTTGCAGCTGTTGTAGATGCTAAGGTACTTACTGTCTTAATCATTTCATAATCGCCATACAATCAGTCTGAAATAATTAAATATTTTTTATGAGTTTGAATTGGATCTGTTTTAGTTAACTTTTCGAAGTAGAACATCAATGCCAATGAAAATTCTTTAAAATAGATACTATATCATAAAGAATTTTGAACAACATTTTAGTTTCTAGACAGATCTTGGTTACAAGTAATTACTGAATCAATTACTATATGACAAAGAGTTTCTAACAAAATGTTAGACCCTACACAGTCTTTCCTTTAAAGTAATTAATGAACCAATTTCTATTTGATGGAAAATTTCTTTCATAATGTTAGTCCTTAGGTAGACCTTTCTTAAAAGTAATTACTGAACCAACCCCTGCCTGTGGAAAAATTGCTAATGAAATGTTGGTCCATGGGCAGACCTTCCTTAAAAGTAATTTTTGAATCAGCTACTTCATAACAAAGAATATCTAGCATATTATTAGTTCTACCTATAAAAACTGTGACTGTCTTTAATATGAACTTAGAAGTTTAGAATAATTTCGTGAAATGGTTAAAACTAGTCTGAATGTTGCACTAGAGAACATTTGATATTTTTAGTAAGAATAACTAACATTTACTCCATTTAACTTTCATCTACGAACACAATTTTGTATTCTTCCTGCACATCTTTTTGTTATTCTCTACTGCAGGTTTTTTGTGTACATGGAGGTATTCCACCCCCCTGGTTTGGAGAAGGTTTAGTTGAAGCCATATTGGATATACCTACACCACTACAGGACCCAGAATTGCAGAGTCAACTGGCATGGGAGTTAATGTGGAGTGATCCTATTAGGTTGGTTACCACATCTACTTTTATATGTAAAGAAATGAGGGTTTTGCTAAAATAGTTGTTTGAGTTAACTTTAGAAATGTCTACAGCCAATTTAGGGTTATATAGATAATGGTAATATAATGCAACATATTAAGATTAGTAATGTCTTTTATATCATATCTGATAATCCTTACTTGTATATTGTAGTTTTAGTTTATTTTGAGTTGGTATATATATTTTATAATCTTAAATAATGTTAACAGTGTTTTGATTTGTTTCTGTGTGGTCCAAGTTGTGTTCCTCTTATTGGATGTGTTGTGAGTTTGTTCTTATGTTGGAACAAGTTCTCCCTAATATAATCTGGTGGATGAAAAATTGGTCATAGTTGATAAGTATTCATCTTAGCCAGGAGACACTGACAGAAGAGGAAGAGAAGTTACTGCAGAACACAGATGGTTTCATTGACAATAAAAAACGTGGTACAGCTCACACTTTTAGTGCTGATGCCCTGGAGTCCTTTCTCAACAGGAACAATCTTTCTCATGTAGTCCGAGCCCATGAGGTACAGCAGACGGGTTTCCAGGTAATGTGAACTTGTGCTCACTTAATAATCAGACATTATTAGCAATTTGAAAGTTGTAGTTAAGTCAGTCCGAGGCATTCATTTGATGATGTTCAGAATTAGCATTATTACTTATATTTCCAATACGATAACTTACCTCCTGTCATAGAATAGTATTTTCTTGACTTGTGCTGCCCTCTATACGTGCAATTTTTGCTCACCATTAGCCTTGATGCTCATACCTACCCTCACATAATTTCTCATGGTATGAGCATGCAACACCCTCCTAGTGCAGCCGATTCCCTCTATACTGTAGAGCACTATCATCAATTTTCGATTTGGCATTCTAGTGTGCCGACATGCTCAATATTTGCTCTGTACTTACAATTCTTACGTGCACTTTTGGTTAATTCTAATGTGTTTTGACAACTCTTAGTTTGTTGTCATTTGTTTTCTGCTTACTTAGTATTTGTGGAATATTTTTCTTTTTCATTTCCACATAGTGAACTCTCACTAAAATGCCTTCTGTTATGGATCCAGCTACTACTGATCCACCATTTCTTATTACTTCTGTGGCTTTTTCACGTGGAGGTTTTGGCCATGATACATTGTAAGTTGTAAACTATCTTGGCCTCTGGGAACTCAGCCATATCTCCCATTTCTGGAAGAATCTGGTCCTGACAAAGAGGATTTAGACAGCCTTTGCTACACCATCCTGTGCTAACCCTCTGGATTTCCCTCATCCTTCTTTGGCATTTTTGGATATGATTTCCTAGGTATGTTACGTATTACCTCTCTTCCATTCATCTTCTTTCCAAGGTTGTCCACTGTTCCCCTGAGGGGTTTTTAGGAAATATACATACCCTTCTATTTTCCACATTAGTGCACTTATCTTCCTCAGTCTTTTCTCTTCAACCATGGCTCCTTTGTTGTTGAGATATCCTTGGCAGGGATATTTTATTGTCTCATGTGCTTCCTATTTGTGAGACTTCTGTCTGGTCCCTTTTTATGGCAATCTATCTTTGGGGGTATTCCTAATCCTTTGGAGTCTTGGGTGTAAGCTGCATGTCAACATTCCTCCTTTGTTTCTCAACTTTCCTCTCCTACCCCTGTTCCTGTGTCTCTCACTCATGCATCCTCCCCACTACCAGTGTCAGCCTCCCAGATTTTTGCAGAGAGTCGCCAAATTGCTCATTGTCATATTTTTTAACACCAGTTTTATTAGTGACACTCCTGTGGGTTCTGGCACTGTGGATGTACAGTTAGCCAGATTTGTTCACCTGTAGTGCCTATTTACCGTGAACTCCTGGGTTCTTCAGATTCTAACAGTGGTCAGTGCCTTTGTGCACCATCTTTGACTCAAGGTTTGCAGTTCCATCGTTATATAGATGACCAACTCCTTTTAGCTCCATCCCAACAAGCCTCCTACAAACATCCCCATTTCCTCCTACAAGAAGCAGCCTGCATGGTATGGCTTGTCAAGCTGAAGAAGTTCTATCTCTCCCCATGCAGTATCTTAGCCATTTTGGGGTATTTTGCAACAACTACTTCAGTAGAGTCCATCCTTCTCATTGTTTGAGGTCCATGGACTCTTGATTTCCAAAGTCAAGTCCTTTCCTTCTCCACCTGCATACCAAGTTCTATCTCTCTTGGGAACCTGTGCTTCCATGGAAGCCCTCATACTCTTGTGATTGTGCATACATGCATTGTCTTCCATGGGTGTTGCACAATCAAACAAATCTTGTTCAGGATTCCTTGGCATATACCATGCTCCTCCCTCCTTCCTTACAAGTCAACTATGCCTGGTGTCAGAGATATCACCTCGGCTAGCATTCCTCTGCTTTCTCCCTGTCCCAGTTTGCACCTTCTTACAGATGCTTCTCTTACAGAGTGGGAAGTGTATCTGGATTTTCAGGAGATCTATGGTATTCAGACAGTGGTCAAATCTTCCCTTCACATCAGCTTTTTGCAACTTCTTGCAGTATGCCAGGTCGGATTATTTCCTGACCCACAGAATTAAGTCTGACTTGCCATAGCCACTCTACACCATCTGACATGTCAAATTACAGATTGGACGTGCATCTTTTCCACCCATTTTAGCAACACGTATCTTTACACCAGGTGAACAGTATACCTGATACAGATGAGGTGGGGTCTCCCACAGATGTGACCCTATACATTAATGTATCACACTCCATGGGTTCTATTTGGGCTCCTTCTGAAGAGTGCTCATCTTGCTAACTTTTGCACTGGTCCCTCCACTGTTTCAATATAGGATTCTAGCTATTATGTGAGAGGAAGTAAGGTATCATATCAGAAGTTAACATTTTCCTGCACTGAAAATGAATTTCTGATAAATACTTACCTCCTCTCACACTTCCCACCCTTCCTCACCACTTCTGATGCATCTTTTGTGCTTAATATCGAAGTGATGATAATGTTCTACAGTATAGAAGGAGTTAGCTGCACTAGGAGGGTGTGTCACACTCCTATTGGTGGAGGGTTGTTGCATGCTACAATGCAGCTATACCATGAGAAATTACGTGAGACTAGTGTAGAATGAAAATTGATTAGTAATACATTTTCAGTGTAGAAAAATGTTAAAGTTAATATTGTGGACACTTAGTGATGTGGTTTCACATTTATTCCAGGTGCAGCTAAAAGGTAAACTATTGACAGTTTTCTCTTCATCTCATTACTGTGGTGGAGCCAATGAAGCTGCCTGTATTTTAGCTGATCGCTACAAGCTTAGAACCATACGACTTGATACAACCTGAAACTTGTTTTACTTGCCACTGGTTGGTCATGAGAAACTGACATTCTATCAGATTTGCCTGGTGGAGAAACACCTCAGGTATTCGTGAGATCAAGTCAACTTGAGCACGTTTGCAAAGGAGAGGGAAGGATTCTGTTTATCTGTTATTTACTTTATTTAACTAAAGAATTTATCCATGGATTTTTTTTCAATATTATAGTCTTTTCAATGAGTAGTTTATTTTTGTGGTTAACATTATTTAGTTATGTATTAGTTGTACATGTAAGACTTTGTTTACCTGTCCACCATTTATAAGCTAGGTAGAAATGCATCCATTGGCTAATTGAGACAGGGTTGTCTGTGTTTCCAAGGTGATTTTGGAAACTTTCTTACCTGTACAAAGTTAATACAAATGTTATATTAGCTGTTAAGTTAGTTTTATAAGTGAAAAAAATGTTTCTAGTCTAAGGTATGAGCAAATACTATTTAACTGCTATGTTGTGCCAATCCTCAGAGGTGAATTGATAACAGTTTGGGTTGTTTTTAACAAAGTGTATTGTATCTTGTTTATTACATGTGTTGTGATGAAAATTCATAAATAATTGTATAGTGCAGGCTGAACAAGTTTACATACGTGAAAGCAACCATTGAATATTCTGTTTTTATAACAAATTAATTTTCAGGTCAAAGAAAGGATTTAAAGTTCCTTATAACTTTTTAGAAGGGAGTTTGCTAAAAGATATATTGACACTGTATTAGTTCATATTTAAATATTCAAGCTGACATTTTTATTCTATTGGATTACTTAATTGTACTAACATACTGCAATATAAAATGTAAAATATTAGTTGGATTAAGGAATTATTAACTTTTAAAATTTCTTATTAACCTTATTCATGAACGTACACTTAGTCATAGCCAAACGCGTGACAGTCATTACATTCCTTGTTTCAGATAATGGAAAATCTTGATTTTTATAAACAACTTTTCTCTGATATTTAATTCACCTTAGATGTTATATTTAATGTTTGAATTGTATTTTATTCTTTCATTTTGTACTTTCTTGAAGAAATTGTTATATAAACATTTTCATATAATAAAAATGTCACTTATTTGTACTGGAATATACTTGTTTAAAATATCATACGTTTTTTTTGTCTAAGTGTTACTTTAAAATGAGTCAAACCTTAACACATTAAAGCCATTAATAATTTCACATACTATGAATGAATACTAGTATAAACAAATGGTCATAGCATTTCGGGGTTTAGGTTTCCTCATAAATCTGTAAAGTTCAAACTATCGACATTCATACCCATAAGGTTATTTAATATATTTACACAGAAATTAAAACTCTTTTGATTTTTGCAGTTACCAATCTGAAATATACTCTAAACTATTTCTGAAATGTAGATCTAAGTTCCATGATCCTCTGAATTTGTTCCGGATTTTATTTTATTTTTCACAAATTCCAATTTAGTGGTATTATAATGAAAGTGGTTGACCTTCAGAGTGACCTCGACCTTTGATCTACATTTACCAAAAGCTAATAAAGTGATTGTTGGGAGACACTCAATCGTCATCAAAAATTTCGTTAAAATCAGATGGAAACTTTGTTGATTTATCATTGTTCACACACACACGAGTAAAAATAATATAGCTTTTTCCAAGTTAGCGGATAATGTTATTACATTAATATAGATAAATGTAAGGAGACTCTCTTTGAGGAAAATGTTCTAAATGATACATAAATAGTTTGTTCGTTAGTTTGTTGAAACAACTGAAGTGTACAGTTCCAGCTTTAGGTGGTTAAGTGGTAAGTTTACAGAAGTTTGTTTCACCGAGGTGAACAAAGCTTATATAGTCCATCGTGTAGCTCTATACTAAAAATCAACAACAACAGCTTACCTTGTGCGATGTCATAGTTTTTTCAAAGCAGAAATAAAAAGTATAAGTACTTTGTGTTTAAAAGTTCAATTTTTAAAGTACCACTCGTAACAAGTTATAGAGTTGTGTTCAAAGTATAGAAGGGTAGTTATTTCTATTCATACGTTGCCTGTGTTGACAAAATATCCAAACTTTAAAGGCACGAGCTCATTCCTGAGAAGATATTGTTCGTTTGCGACATTATAGGAAGTGTTTTGAAACTATTCCCTGCATTTTGGGGGATTATTAATGGTTGCACAGGTAAGCATAGAGTACTGTAGAATGTTAAACGTGACAAACAAATGTTCATTTAACTTTATAGATCATAAAAATATAAATAAAATCCCAAGCCAAATCATTTATTTCTCATAAGGTTATACATTTACTTTGTGTTGCTGTGATACAATATTTTAATTGTAGAGCTTCTGGGCGTGAAAAAATATTGATCACAGTTAAAAAACACGAAGACTGAGAAGATATAACACAATGAAATTTCAAGTTGAAAATACCTGATGATGGAGTTCGTCAGTATAAATATAGCCTTTCGGGAACGTATGCATAGAATTAGAGAAATGTCTACCCCAACATAATATTCTTTGATATTAGAACAAACACCTAGTACATATACATCTTTGATGAATGAAAATGATAAAGTACCTGGGAATTCAAGTGAAATAACTTCTATGATTGTGATTCTTTATAAAAGATGGCCTAACTGTTGAGTTGAATTTTGGCCTCAGAATGGTAATTTCCTGCTTGAGGTTTTTAATGAATTTCTGAAAACAGGTGAATATTGTATTGAAATATGGAAAACTCATATAATTTGGTTTGGCCAAAAATCATGTACGGTTTCAACTTCAGCTATTCCTTTCAAGAGGAGTGTGAGTTTCAATAAGTTTTTCTTTTATTTACCTTAGCTTTATAACAACTTCTTCATAATTTGAGAAAGGAAATTGGTAATTTAAAACCAATAGCGATGTTCAATGCCCATCAAAGACTTATCCTCTTATGCTGACGGTATAAATATTTACATTAGACAGGAAGCAGAATTTAATGGTATTGAGAACAAAATAAAGGAATTTGAAATATATTCTGGATTAAACTTCAATGAAGGGAAATATTTTGGTTTATGGTCTTTTGATTGTAAAACACACGTAGAAGAGAAATTAGGCTATCCTTGGAGTAAAAGTACTTGGAGCTTATATAGGAAATTCTCTAACGTGGATTCAAAGAAACTGGGATGAGCTGAAAGAGAAATGTTGTAAACTTATTACAATTTCGAAACATTTTAAACTTTTTTTATCATTAAAAGAGAAAATATTAATTTTTGTTAATAACTGTAGTGTGTTGCATAGATTTGGATACTTAAATCTACTTAGATTTCGATAGATTATTTCCAAAAAGTTTGGATAAATAAACATCGTTATTTTTCAAAAAATGCGAGCTGAATATTATAACTGAACGAGAAATTAACCTAAACGATTATATTTTGTTGTCCATATAGAGAAGATTTGATTAGAGATAAAAAAATAACAAAGATCTCCAGTGTAATGTCTGTTCAAGCGAATTGACAAATACTTTGATCTCTCAGTAGTTGCCTCGTGGATCAGCGATAAGTCTGCAGGCTAACGACGCTAAAGATCAGGCTTCGACAGCCGTGGTGAGCAGAGCACAGATAGCTCATTAATAAAACGATGTTTATCAGAAGCGGCAGTTGATTACTGAATTGTCTTTATCAGTTTACACACATTTGATAAATATATTTTAAATGTTAGTTTTTTCGAAAATTTTACATGTGTAAGTTAAATTAACAAGTAGTTCACTAGCATAGAAACCGGCCATAAGGAAAAAAAACAACAACTCGAAAATTAGTCTGGGATACTGAGGTATAAAACGGTCCCCGCGTGGACAAAAGATATAGCAATGACTGGTCTTTGAGATCAAAGTTTAGAAAGAAAACAACAATGACCAGTACATTGAGTGGTCACAAGTAAATAGACACCGCCTTTTCAGAAAAATGAAAATTTTCAGTCATATTCACATGAATTGATAT